TAAACTGATCATAACTGGGAGGCAAGGAGTTAAGGACCATGTCAATGGCCAACCCCTTGTCAAAATGCACATTGAGCTTTTCCAGCCGCTCTATGTATCTCTGCATTCTCTGCACATGGTTGCACACATATTTTCCCTCCTTCAACTTGCATGCCATTAACGCCTTGACAACCTCATATCTTTCTTGACGTACTTTCTTATGAAACTTTTCAGCAGGATCCAAGCACATCTCGTATGACCAATAGTCCTCGTCAAACTTTTGCAACTCAGGTACCATGGTTGAAACCATTATACAAACGACCTTTGTTGCATCGTCGTAGTGTTACTTGTAGGTGGCAAGCTCCTCTAGAGTAGAAGTTGTCTCATCGACTTCAAGTAGGGGTTTTTTGAGAACATATTCATTTCTCTCGTATGGAAGAGTCATTTTGAGATTTCGCATCCAACCCATGTAGTTTGGACCAACTAGTTTCTCTTTCAATAAGATCGACAAAAGAGTGAAGTTTGAGTTGTTGGTGGAGGTTTGAGCAGCAACAGTAATATCATTGGAATTAGGCATCTATATTAAGAGAGAAAGTTTTAGTTAGTTGACACAAATCCTTAATATTTTAACCCAAAATAAATATTTAAGGCTAGGATCCAAAATACAATTCACAATCAAGAAGAGGGATGTCATAGTCTTATTGCGAATCTATAAGGTAGGTTAGACAATTTACCAATTTCAATCTAATATGAAATTCCTATATCTTTTGAGATTCATTGAATCTTATCAATGACATGTTTAATCTTAGATTATGCTCTTCTGTTTGTGATTGGGATATGGAGGATCACAAACAGGATGTGAATAACCATGCAAACAAGCTTGACAAGGTCGATGTCATTTATCATCTCAAATTAATGTGTCGGTAAACCACACACGCTCCATTAACAATGATAATTTTCAAGTTGTGTCATCATGTCAACTTTATAGTCCCAAATTAATGTGTCAGTCAGCCACGCACGCTCACTAACGACTAATAAAGAATGATGTGTGTTTTCATGGATTAGCATATATTTTACATTTTTCCTAAAGTAACTAGAGTGAGGGGCTGTTTGGCAGGATCTGAATTTTTAAGATCTGAATTTTTAAGATATCTGAATCTCTAAGAGGGTCTGAAATTTTAAGAGCTGAATGTTTAACATGCTGTTTGGTTGGGACATCTGAATTGTTATGCTGAATTATAAAAATGACCATTTTACCCTTCTATTTTATTTTTTATTGAATTCAAGTGTCTGTTTATAAAATAACCTAATCAATTTCTTAAATAATTATAAGAAAAAAATATAATCACCATATAAAATCCAAATCTAGCATAAACCAAGTGATCATACAATATAACCAAATTAAACATAAATTCTTTCAAATTCACTTCTTTCAATCCATTGTAACATAAAATCATACAATATAACAAAATTAAACATAAATTCTTCCAAATTCACTTCTTTCAATCCATGGAAAGATAAACATCATACCATAGCCAAATAAAAATACTTCTTTCATTCCATGTTGCAACCAGTGAACTAAAGACTTTCTACCTCCTGCACACTTAAAAAACAACCATAAAATTTATCACTCTTTTATCCACAAAAAATTAACCAAAACTTTTAAGCACAAATCAATAGAAATCATCCACTTAAGCAAGAAATTGCCCATTAGCAACAGGTATACAAGTTAATAATCAAAGTTCGTAACAAAAATTTCAGAATCCAAGTTCATAATTGTTTAAGTATCAAAATTTCAGCATCAGATTTTCAAAGAAAAAAACAAATTCAACTCTCTTATCATCAGCAACAGCAACTGTTAATATCAGATTTCCAACCTTTATAATTAGATTTCTGATTTCACCATTTCAATAGTTTGAAACCACATATGAATTTAGAAAAAAAAACAAAAGGAAATCACGAATTCAACATCAGATTGCAAACCACACATGAATTCAGAAAAAAAGGAAAAGAAAAAAAAAACAAGTTTTCTATAAAAACAGAAAAAAATTGAGTTTCGGGGGAAAGAAGGAAGAAACTCACCTAGAACGTTGGAGACGGAGGTGGCAGCATCGTTCGAGGAGGCGGCGGCGGTGGCGTTGCAGGCGACGTCGTCGGAGAACCTGATGAAGGGAAGAACCTTGCACACAGACTGAAGAGGAAGACGGGGCGCTGGTTTGGTGAAGGTGACGTCGCTGCAACCATCACCGGCGTAGCTTGTGGAGGCAGGGATGGCGCAGCTGGTGGAGGCGGCGACATTGTTGCAGATCGGAGAGAGGCATATGGATTGTTTGAAGATCGGAGAGGGAGGAGTAATGGGCTACTGTCTCGATGAGTAGAAAAAAAAAAAGCGACTCCATGTTTGGTATGTAGGGCATAAATGTCTTTCATTTAATTCAGATACGCCTTCAAATCAGAATTTTTAAGAGCCTACTTAAAAATTAAGAGCCTTTTTTTCATATGCTACCAAACATCCAATATCTTAAAAATTAAGAGCCCTCCTCTTAATTTTTCAATTAAGAGGTAAACAAACAGAGCCTAAGATTTTTAAAAGAAGGTTCTAGTACTTTGTAGATTACACTTTTAATTTTGATTATGTCATATCAAATCCGTTCAGCTAATGACCATCCACCATACAGGAGAGCGGTGGATGAAAATTACAACCATTCAACGGTAATTTTATAGGTAGTTTCCTTATACCCTCTTTATAAAATGGCTTCGTGAATGAGTCTTAATATCCATTCGACCGACTTTATCTTATACATATAGTAATTAACATTTAATATATATATATATATATATATATATATATATATATATATATATATATATATATATATATATATAAAAGGTGTATTTTAAAACTTTTCAAAATACAATGTTTAAATATTAATTATCTAAATTAAAATTTTAATTAATTAAATTTAAACCAATTATTATTTAATCTTTATCTTTTAGTTCAATTAATTTAAATCATTTAGGGATTAAATAATTGTTTTAATTAAACAATTAATAAAATAATTCAAAATTAATCCTAATCCAAAACCCTCATATTTTCGAAAATTAGGGTTTAGGGTTATCAGGTTTTAATTATTAAAATTTTGATGCAATTAAAATAATAATTAAAGAAACTAGAAAACCCTAAGGGAACCCTAGCAATTTTCAAGATTAAGGGGTGGAGGCTAGGTTTCAAGAAACCCTAGCAAAGTCGAAATTTCAAAGGAATATGTTTACTTTCGATAACCCTGATTTTGATCCATTCAATTTTATGCACAATCAATAGAAAACAATGACTCTGATACCACTGATGGGTTTTATAGGCTATTAAAATTACATATGAAGCAAAAACCTTAACCCTTAAGTTCACATATATACAACTTATAAGTGATCTATGTTTTCTCTAATTTATTAATCATATAATAAATCAATAAATCATCATCTCTCTCCAAATGTCATTATACTCAATTACTAGTTATGAGGACAACCTAAAAAGGACTTTACTTCTAATCAAGTGTATATCAATTTAGTTATGATGTTAGACACCTTAATCCAACACCATGTGGCATATATATTGAATGTCTACAACAACGGATCCAATAACTCAATTTGTTGCATCAAGACTCACTAGGACAAGAGACTAAATCGGAACTGAGTGTTGGGCGATGGTTACGAGGAGACATCCTTTTGTCGGGCCAAGAAGTGATCGTCATGAATGAGGATAACATGATGATCCATCGAGGAAAATTAGTGTGAAGCTTGGGATTCTTAAGTTCATGGGCCATGCTCCCTTTGATAACTATCCTTTAGAAGTATACCCTTCGAGTTTGTCTGAACCGAGCTAATTGTATGGGACAATGAGGATGACAACAAGATTGGTCCATTTTGTAACACCAACTTCGTATATAATACAAAACTCATCTATGACACCGATAATGAATGTGAAGTTGTTAAACAAAAATTTTTTGAAAATCAAATGACATATCTACAGTTGATCATTATGAAAATCAATGAATATAATGTAAACGATGGGTTTTTGCATTTTTCATAAACATGATATTCTGCCCAAGGCTACTCAAGAATTCAGATAGGAAGTAACCAGTAGGTACATCGGTGAAATCTTTGATGGAGTGTTGTCTTGTTTTGTACATTCATATTTTGTTTACATAGTGGAAGTTGTGTGCCTTTTAGAAATCATGGATGAGAGGTATTTGAGATGAAAACTCAAAGACTAAGGTGCTGTTTGTTTTTTGGAAAAAACATCTTCAGACCTCTTATTGCTGCGCGGCGCTGCATACGCGCAGCACTTTTCATCACTTTTCATCTCGCAGCTGTTTGTTTTTTCGAAGTCTTCGGAGTTAAAAACCTCTATTTGTGCTCTGTTTGGCGCAACACTTGTACTGCCTCTTCCAACGTCTTCTTCTTTTTTTCTTACGATTATATTTGATTCCAAGGGTTTTTTTCATTAAGATTTATTTTGATTAGGTTAACACCCCCCAAAACCTCATAACCGCCATTAAAAAAAGATCGGGTCAATCTCCGATTTAGGGGTGTTTTTCAGTTTACTTTACTTTGAAATCGAATAAGAAATAGCCGACGATGGTGCTAGGAAATCGAGAACTGTGAAGCGGTCTAGTGCTAGGAAACCAAGGGTTTTGGTTTCATTGACTCCTGATGATGGCGGCCAAATCTGTTTATCAATGTTTAGAGTTTTGATGAGACAGTGGAGCATCTAGCGGAGAACGGATCTAATGAGACTCAATCTCAGGGAAGTAGTTGCCGAGGTGGCGGCGGCAGGGGTGGAGGTGATTGTGATCGATACGGTGGTGGCGGGTAGGGCCTGCTGTTATATCATACTCCCACGCTGATTGATTTTACATATTCTTCTATACAAGCTTTGTTAATGTTAGTAGAAACTACAGTGAAGTTGTTCCAGTGCGTTCTTCAAATAATTATGTAATTGAAATAAATGCACAAAACATAAACATCTCTTTATTTATCTTGACTGCATCAACGGAGTCTTACCAATTACTTCATCATCATCATCATCATCAATCGGTGCAATGAAAATGATCCATCACTCCTGTTGCTGTTATTGCAATTCGATATAGTTCCCAAAACTGGTTTGCATTGCAAATCAAGTGGAATAAATACAACAGTATAAAACACACGTCTGTATTACCTAAACTAGCAAATTCCAAGAGGATCACCATGAAGATTAGTTTCTAGGACTGGAGCTGCGACCACTGATAGATCATCTATTGGTAACATCCCCTCCAAATTTTTGTAAACTTGCTCCTTTAAAGCTTCCACGAGAGACTGCAAAACATATTACAAAATATTATTTTCTGCTAAAACATGGATAGGGTTTACTAGAAAGAATTGAGGTATGAAATACAAACCTTCTGGGAATCAGAAAGCTCATTCATGGAGAGATGATATTTTCCATCAAAGGTTGCCCCCACAACCTCCATAACAGAATTGAACAAAATCCCAAACCCATCTGTACTACTGTTGTATATGTAAAGCCTTTCATCTAAAACACACGTCTTTGCATGCTTGATAATCTTCTTCAAATTCTTTTTATTCGTACCACCAAGTAGCTTTATTATCAAAATTAAAATTATAGTCATTCGAGACAAGTTCACAAAAAAAAATATGGAAAAAAAAGTTATAAAGTATCTCTTACCCCACAAAGTAAGGACTCATTAGTATTATACATTTGTAGAAAGTCTTTCACGGTATGTATTTTGTGTGATGACAATGCTCTATGCAAAAACCCATTTTTTGCTATCTGTTCCAAACGCCAAATCTCATCACCCAATCCTGGAGGATAGTTCTTGGTATATACTGAATAAAAAAAAAATTATCAACATATTGTAATAGTCTTAAAGGGTTATAAATGTATAATCATATGAATTACTGTTCCCTTCGAATCAAGAAGCTTGTATCATTATCAATAGAAAAGTCTTAGAATGTAAAGACAGTAGAAAAGATATATAAACATAAACTGGGGGCTTACACACTCATCGGTTTTCTTTTACAAAAAACGCTTGGCTTCTTGCTTCTCTGATTCTGACTCCAGGAGTGGCATTTTGGACTTTTGCCCCTAACCTAAACTTCCTGCTCCTCCTCCAGCTTGAATTATCAGTAAAAACTACATTACCTAAATCAGCAACTCCATCTTTCAGAGTCAACACCAGATCCCCTGTCAACAATGGCCTTTTTCCATCTCTTGCATGTATAATGTTGGCATCAAAATCACTCTCAGGCCACCAATCTTCCTCATCATCAAAAGTAAAATCACCATCAAGAGCAACAAGCTCTATCTTCTGTGAAGATAAGGGTCCAGATGACACAATCTCATTAGAAATAGCATCAAATAACCCTACTTTTATACCACTCTTGTCCTCAGATTCTATCCTATTTCCAGTGAAAAATGTAGGAAGCAGCTTAGTCTGGAAACGAAGCTGCAGGGATGTTGTACTATGCGCATCAGAAGGAGATCTATAAAAGAAAAAAGAAATGCACAACTATTATATATATACACACTGTAAATCTCATTTTATGCTCAAGCATGCATCAAAGTCTTTTTACAGAAATATGTAGTGGAGATGAAAAGTGTACGCCCATGAAAATGAGAAAGAGATACGACCTTGGTAATGCACCAAAGATCTGTTGAAATTGACGATGCAACTCATCATGCATCTGTTGAACTTGACGATGCAACTCATCATGCACCTATCAGAAAGAAAGTAAATGTTTATAAAATCAAAGGATCGTATGATAAGCAAATAATTTGCCAACTAGATTCATAAGTTCAGAAAGAAGACATGGTAGTTGTTGGAAATTAGTGGTTATTTGCAAGTAGCTAAGTTTTCATTATCCCACAGTGGTGGGTGGATGGAAATAAAACGTGTTTATAAGTTTTTTCTCTTGTTAAGCATTCAAAGGCATTAATAAGCTTAATGTCAAATTACCTCCATTCCACCAGTACCACCATCTGTAGTCAGTGATTTCAACTTCTTACGAGGTGTGCTTGAAGTAGACTCCTGAATCTCATTTAATTCCTGAACAAAATCACAAGAACAGCTGTAAAAAATTTTATTTATTGCTTTAATTTTCTTTCGTTTGTTATGTACGAGGATCCATCATCTCATAAGGATATTAGTTTTGTTTAAATGATAATAGGTCATGAAGCTAATGGCCACAACACTGAAGGCATTGGATGGAATAACAGATGCATCTTAATTAGACATGTATTTGTTGTAAATTTGTGTGTTATTGGGAGTGAGTTAACTTCCAGCACAAGGAAAGATTTAAACTCTTTTCTTTTTATATGCTAAATGTAATACTTAGTTACCTTTATTGTTGTTTCACTAAATTTAAACGATGTGGAAGATTTCATCGTCTCCCCAAGCAGGCTTGATGTGAACTCCAATGTTTTATCTACAGAAGATGATTTTGACATCTCTGCAATCTTGTAAATGTCCTCCTATTTATTTTTCATAAACACCAGAGCCAGTTAACAAAACCCAATCATTACACTACATATCACAGAATTAGCATCAAGTACAAAAAGGCTAAACTAGATTGCAATGGTTTGGACCTTGGATAATCTTTTCACTTATGTGAACTTACAAAAGTATCATATGTATATAAGGCAACAAAAATGGGGATTTGAGATGTATATCAATTATAGAGATATTATTGTAACAGTGGAAAGCCATAAAATCAACTATTATGATAAACCAAGTCACAATAGTCCTATTCATCCTATACCAATTGCATAGGCAGGGATATGGTACAAGATATGTAGGCCCTCCATATTATTCACATAAATTTTGAGAGGAAATTTACCGATTCAGGACCATGGATGATGCATCTAACAAACTTTAACTCAGAAAATGATGGATTCAACTGCATAGGTCGACCTGTCTTTCTCCATCCTCGTACCTCTGTAACAATGTGTCACAAGATAAGTCTTTCTTTATTTGCTGCATAAATTAATCTAACTACAAATGCCAACAAGATGGACATACCTGTACATTCTATGGTATCACCAACTAAGGTATTAAACCAACCAGGAGTCAGTCTACCAACCTCCACTAACTCAAAGAAATCACGTCGACAAAGATAGTAAGCCCGTGTGCTTAGTTGAAATCTAGACAAATCTCCTCCAAGAACTTCTATCCATTCCATGTTCTCTTCCAAGGTTTCCTCGGCTACTTTATCATCAGTATAAATAAGGCTCACACCACATTTATGTACCTCCAGTCCACTGATCACAACGATAGAGACGTTGACATTATCTCCAGTGTCCAATGTATTTCCAATTGGCCAATAGCTTAACCATATACCAACTTCACCAGATTCAGGTTTGCCAAAGACTTTGGGGTTGTACATCAAATCAACACCATTGGTTGTACTGATCTTACAGAACCAAACCCAATCATCATCACTTGATATTGTATATTTGAAAGTTACATCAAGTCCTTTGAGCCTTCTATTATTGGGAGGGGGAGGCACGTCAAAGGAGAAAGATGATAACTCAGATACATATGTAGGCCTCATGTTTGGATACTTCAAGTTTGGATACCTCATGTCTGGTAGAGATGTGCTCATTATATTGAATTCATACAACATCTGTGCCATGCAAAAGCACAATAATTCAGTCACATATAATCAGTTTGTAGGTGGTATGTGTTGAAGAATGTAAACTAGACGTCATTATTGTGGAAGTTAAGTTAGTTAGCGGTTATGGCACATAGATAGAACCGCTTTTTTGAGAGGGAATAACGGTTACAAATTGGTAGTTAATGCAGTAGTTAATTCTCAAGGGTTGCAACAGTTCAAAAGGAGTTACAATGGTTGTATCATACATACATACATACATACATACATATATATATATATATATATAAGTGGTTGTTTTATGATTAAATTAATAAAAGGAACTTTACGTTTTCTGCATTAGAATTCTCCTTCTATCTTCTCGTCTTAAAAGTCTTTGTCCAACAGTGTGTTTGGTGTGCTCATGCATGTGTTTGAGAAACAAATAACGTACCTGGACACACGAACTTCTGCCTTTGGTGAGCCCATCATCACCAACTAGGTTCACCTCATGATTTTGATATTCTTTTAGCCACTTCATATGTCCCAAATCATTTTCTTCAAGTTTGGCTACAGGCACCAATTTGATAAAGCCTTCAATTTCACATAAACTAATACAGCCTTCATAGCCAAACTCTTGCAATGTGAATCGATGTGATTGGAAACTTATTTCCTCCAGTGATTTACAATAGTAAATATACAATTCTGCAAGTGTACTTGGGAGACATAGAAGCCGTTTAAGCCTTGAGCATAAACTCAAGTCAAGGACCCGAAGATTTTTAAGATGATCATAACAAGGCAGAAACTCAAATAGACTATTGCCTAAATTCAAGTACTGCAAAGATGGTTGATGACTAAAACTCAGAGGAAAAGAATCAGTACAGTCAAGATTGCAGTCCTTGAGGAATAACCGGTGTAATGAACGTGGGAAGAAAAACTTAGGATGTTCTGCAACTTCTCCACCAGAGGTAGAAGCTTCTAGACCTACTAACTGATCTGTTTTCTCACTCATGCACAGGTTTTTACACCCTGTCATGTTCAGTAGTACAAGACTTTTCAGGTCTCCAATGCTTTCACAAACACTAACCAGATTCTGACAGTTCCAAAGAATAAAAGTCTCCAGATGAGGGATCATGGACATGTTGCGGATTTGAATCAGATTGTGTGATCCTGTAAGATTCAGAATCTGGAGTGACTGAAGAACCTGTTGCAAAAGTAATAACAAGATTAATTAATGTAGCACTGGATTTTTGCATAAAGGCCATTACTAAAATCTGAAATGAAGCTAAACGGATGAGCTACAAAAAGAGGATATCAGATTCCCTACCATGGGTGGTTCAAATACTTCCAAGTTGCTATAGCTCATATCTAGAGCCACCAAGTTTCCCATGAATAAGTCAGAGGGTATGGTTCTTAAGTGGGACCCAAGCCAGCATAGCCATCTCAAGTCTTTTGAAAAATTCTCATAGGAACCAGTGAGTGGCACAACGTTTAGTTGGAGAAATTTTAGATTATCCATCTTTTGAAGTGCATCTGTCTTGAGGTTTGATGACTGCAGATTTAGAAGAAGAGATATAGCAAGCTTAGTAGCTTACTATCAGATCCAGAAATAGATATGTGTACGTGTATGTTTAAATATACATATGTACACACACACACACACATACATCAGTTCTTAGTGATTTTGTATTACCTTGAAAGCAAACTTCTGTTCCTCTAGCATTCGCATGTCAAGTGCTAAACCTTCCATAGTTTCTGAACCCTAAAAGGAAAAATGGATAAATTGTAGAATCAAAATGAAACAGAAGGGCATGAAAGTAAAAGTAGGCTTAATTAAACATGCATATAAAAAAGAATCTATACCTCTCCGTTAATCAATATCTTATAAGAGTCGCTACTAAGCCAGACTCTACTACGTTTTGCAGGGAATTTTGATTCTTGTCGAACTATGTTTTTCCCCAACTCTTGGAGCAATCGATGCATCATGAGTTTGTTGTTTGGTGAAACAGAAAGAAGGCATCTGTTGGATAGGCTTTTGATCCCAGATAATGCAGAGTAATCATGCTCCAATATCTTTACCACATAGTCCATGTCTTTGCCAACAAAGAAACAAGCAATATGCAAAAACAACTCTTTTTCTGAGTCGAATGACAATGACTTGTAGCTCATCATAAGAACATTCTGAATTCTAGAATGAATATCTTTTTCCAGTAATTTCAATTGGCTTTTCCAATGTAAGATGGTATTGTTATTGGATAGAGAAGAAGCCAATACTTCAAGAGCCAAAGGATTTCCTTCACAATATTCTACTGCTTGAACTGCAAGCTCCTCAAAACCTTCCATAGGAGCTTTGGAACCAAAAGCATGACGACTTAAAAGCTCTAACGATTCATCATCATTCAATAATGTCATTTTATAATCTTGACACCTCCAATTTGTGGACTTAAACCAATTCTCTGTATTTTCCCTGGTTGTTGTTATAATAATCTTGCTTTGTGCATTAATCTTCCCGGTTCCAAGTAAAGCAACTAACTGACTATCTTCAGCAATGTCATCAAGAACAATAAGCGACCTTTTTGTTTGTAAAGCCTCCTGAATCTCCCATGTACCTTCAAAAACACTAGGTATTTTCCTCTTCTTGCCTCCTAAAATACCTTTGAGAAGTTGTTCTTGTAGCATACGCAAACCATCAGGCCCTTCACATATGTGGCTAATGCCTTCAATAAAACTCATGTTTTCATAAGTTTTCCAATTTGAATTGTAGATATATTTGGCCAGAGTTGTCTTGCCACTTCCACCCATGCCACAAATTGCTAAAAATTCAACATTTGGTTTGTTTAACCATGAACTGATCTCCCCGTATCGAGTGGCAATACCTGTTATATTGGGTGGAAGATTAACTTCTTTTCGATCCAATTTATTGTATATGATGTCAACAATTTCCTTCAGAAACTTTGCTTCAGACCTGAAACAACATGAGAAAATAAACAAATTCATGGGATGGCATTTAAGCTGTAGACTTATTGACAGTGTTTTTTACTTTTTCCCATTAGACATTTCAAATAAAATAAAAAACAAAAACAAATTCAGTCATCAAACACATAATATTCTCTTATTAATTACATCATTTATTCGTTTCTATAAAAAGTTTGACTAGTCAGAGACGAATATTAAAGAGGCAGGCATACCCACACAAAACCATGCCGGTTAAATCCGCAACCTCTGTAAGAGCTTTCTTCCACAGGTTCACGTTGTCATCTGTCCACCTTGAACATGCTTTGACTTCGATAGGAAAAGTGTTACTTTGTTTCCTCACATCAGAAGGATCGACGTGATAAAAAACAGGTAGAACGAAGTGATTGCACTCCCTCCTTTGTTGAAGGATCAACGCAAGCTCATCGAGGCACCAAGTTGAAGTACCATAATTCTCTGAGAATACAACTACTGAAGCCCTACATTCTTTAATTACTCTCTCGATCTCCTGCTGTAGTTCTTCGCCTCTTTTGATTTCTTCGTTATCCCTAAATGTACTAATTCCTGCTCGCTTTAATGCCTCATAAAGATGATCCGTAAAAGAATGACGAGTGTCTTCGCCTCTAAAGCTTAGGAAAACGTTATAAGCTCCAGGAGAAGCCATAATACTGGATCACGAATCGGAAGCGATTGAAATGGATCTACAGGATGGAAGATGAAGTCAACGGAAATTTTCAATATGCAAAATAATACCCACAAACCGCTTACGGACTGCAAAAACATATTATCTTGTATTTTAACAGAAAATATTATATACAAGACAAGTTAAAATTTAGAGGAAAGTACAAAAATGGTCACTTTGCAAATTAATTTGGCAAAGTCTAACTTCTTTTTCTATATTTGTTTTTAATTGATAATATATATATATATATATATATATATATATATATATATATATATATATATATATATATATATATATATATATATGTTTACGAAATAAGATACAGACCAAAAGTTTTCTAAAAAAATGGTTTTTAAAGGCTTTATAAGAAAGTTCGGGTGGTGTTGGTAGCGATGGTATAGGGGGTGGTAATGGTGGCAGAGATGATTGAGGCAAATGTGGTTGTGGTGGTCGTTGTGATGGTGGTGGCAGTGGTGGAACAAGCCAAACGTATTATAATTAAAACTTATAAAACGTTTTCCAAAATTAGATTTTTTTTTTGTATTTTGGGAAAATATATCAAAAAGATTTTTTTTTATGTCTTTTATCTTCCGAAAAACAAACAGTTTTTTCATCAAATATTTTTCTACCCACACCCACATACATAAGAGACAAAAAAAAGACATTTTGCCAAAAAAAGGTTTCTTTGTGTCTTTAATCCTTGTCAAACTTGAAAATGCTTATTTTAATATTTTAAAATCTATATATATATATATATATATATATATATATATATATATATATATATTTCGTGTGTATTCATATCTTATATAACTTAAGACAATTTTTGTTGATTTGTAATAATGAGATGGTTTCTAGATCATGTAATATCGCCTTGTTGAGTTTGACTCGGGAATAATGGCCTTTGAGTATGTCTTGTTTTTCGACGTGGTGTTCAATTGGGGGTCCGCTCTTCGGCTCACTGCGGTTATATGTTTGATTTCGTTGTTTAGGGAAACTTTTGGCCTTGTGGTTGGCAGTTTTGGTTGTTCACATGTCATCTACTTTATTGTGCCTCCAAGTTGCATTGTAACCGGTTAGGCTGTTCAGCTACATCCTTATTAATTTTATGTGTAATATGTTGTTTGTTGTCTGTATATAACATCCAGTTTTTTCGGTATATTTATTATTTTAATTAACTTTAACTCTTTATCTATTTTATTTATAAAGGGATGGGCTTATTTGGAAAATTGAAGTATTGTTGCAAGAAAATTTGTTTTGAGGGATGCAAATTGCCATTATGGAAATGTTGGAAGGGCCAAACGTGTACATTATGGGATAAAAGGCCATAGGGTCGATGGATTGTAGAGGTTAGATCAGTTCTCTGATTTTTGGAGGGGCCTCATTAGTCTTCGAGTAATCTAAACCTAAACCTTATGAGTGTGTGTACGTTTTGTGTGTTGCAGCCAAAATCAAAATATACATGTCTTAAAACGAAAGAAACAACAAGCTTAAGGCTTAGATTTTCGAAATCTCCCTAGCTTATTTCGTACTTCATAAGTAAAACTAAATTTATGGAGTTTTCGTGGGAAGAATGCTGAAGAAAATTCTCAAAGAGTCGAAGAGAGAGACAACATGTCCAGAGAGATGTTGAGCAGGAAAAAGAAATGTAAAAGAAGAGAGGATTACCTTTAGCACAAGGTTTTCTCATAGAATCTTTGATCCTACTCATCCTACGTAAGTAGTTTTCTCCCATTGAGGTTATCCCAAAATGTACTCAACTATGTTGCCTCTCTATGTCTTAATAGGTTAAGAGAAGAACCCCAAAACCCTAGTTTGGTGGTTTTCTCTTTTGGACAATGTACTTTAGAATTGGAGTTTGAATCATAAAATGTCCATATTGATATCACACTCGATAGTGGTTGTTAACTCATTATTCTCCAGATTTATGGTCGATTTTGAAAGGGCTTAATAGGCTAAGAGGCTAGCTTAAACCCTAAGTGTAAAGTCATGATTTTATGTACTTTACCCTAATATGTCTTGTTTTTTTTAAATCATGGAAAGTCCGATTTAGTAAAGGTCAGTACCCAAAGTTCAATAATGAAGTCTAGTAACTCTATAATTTTTGCCTAGACATGTTGACGACTCTAACTAGGGTGAAAAGAGTCATTTTCAGTGACCGATTCAGATTTAGCTTCTATGATACTCTGTTTTGTAAAATCCATAGTAAATTGTAGAAAAATAGTTAGACTTAGTATAATATATCTCTAGAAAGGTATTGAGCTGAACCTTCTGAATATGGGATAATAATCTAGATTGAACGGGTTTAGGGGGGGGGGGGGGGGGGGGGGGGGGGGGGGAATCAAGTCTTGAACAGACTGCAATTTTGGGGTTAAAGCTAAAATTGAAACTAGGGACTAACTAGTTGAATTAAGGGCTAAGGGTCACTTTTTAATGTTTTATAATACTTCTATAGGGGAAAAGGAAGTGTCTTAATTCATTAGAGCTTTAGTGTTTTCTTGTTGTGATCTACTTTCAATTCGAGGTGAGTTTTCTCACTACATTACATTAAGGTGTATGCTCTTTACATAAGTTTGTGTGTGATATTTAGATAATTTGAGAATAGTACTAGGCAGTGTAGTATCTAGTATGTATATGTTATTTGCATGCTTCATATGGATTGTAATTATGATGGTAAGTGCTTGGCCAGGATGTGCTAAGGAGAGATATAAGTGTCGGTTTGTATGTGACCTGAGCCGGTAAGTGCCCCTTATGCAAGACCTTAGTTGTAAGTGCCTTGTACTATTTGTTCGCCTAAATTGTATGCTTGGATTACCATTAATGGCATCTTGATATACATGTGTGGTAGATGTAAAATACATATTACTAATATGTGGTTTTGTGTTGAAACTCTTTAAGTTTAGTGCTTACCCTTTCTTTATAAACAATTGTTTTAGGATCTACAGGTACACAGGTAGGGGAAAGGCAAGGCATGACTACACCACTGGATGCTTATTTTGGATGTTGATTTGACTGATTTTATTTCGCTGGTTTTTGAAAGATAGTTAGATTCTATTGTTATGATTACTTCTGGTTTCATATAACAGTTTTTGGTTAAATGGTTTCATATAACGATTTTGGTTAAATAGTGTCACACCACCCCCGGCTGGCGGCGGAAACGTCAAGGGGTGACGACGGTACAAATCACTAAGCACAAACTATAATCCCTTCCGTTACATGAAATAAATAAAACCTGTCTATCTTCGAGTTGTTTGTCCTTCCTTGCGTTGTTCTTCTCCTTTTCCTAGGAATACATGTGATTTTCGAAAATGTCAACTTGATGTTGGTGAGTTCACAGGTTTATTAGATATCCAGAAAACTTTTTATGTAAACTTTTAGGATCTTTATTTATGAATAGGATTATATCCTAACTTTCCAAAATTCTTTTGTTTCTTAAATCTTAGATTTTTAGATGCTATCAATCCTAAAATTTTATATCTTTCCTCTACCAATTCTAAAATATTTCACCAATCCTGACTTATCTTATTGTACCATTAGGATATTTTACAAATTCTAATTTATTATAATATATTCTAGGATATTTTACCAACACTAATTTATTATAATATTCACTACTCGAAGGCGTCCCTTTAGGTGGTTGACTACTTAAGGTTTTCAGGTTGCATTACCATGAACCCTTATAATTGACGTTGTGGACTATAATTTCCCCAACATAACGCTTCATCGGACGTCAAATAATAATACCTTTATATAAAGAAAGTTATACTGTCAGGATTGTAGGTAGCAATCGCACGTGGGGGTGTCAATCCTCATATAGATCTATACATATATTTCTGGCTCTTGCAAGATTAACGACTATAGGTTTGGGATAGCCGAATTCAATCAAGGCTATTGGATGAATAATAAAAGCTCACTAACACATTAACCTTAAGTGTTTTAATCTTTTTATAAAATTCTTTTCCATAACTATCATCATATACCTTTTACTATATATATGATAATTATTAATTATATTTTTCATAATTATCCTTATATATATATATATATATATATATATATATATATATATATATATATAGAATTAGGATTGTTCTAAAAACAGGATATTCGGGTAGAATAACAACTAAGTACAGTGCATATCCATATATTTGGCCAACATTACTTCTAGGTATTATGTTATCCTAGGAATTTGACCAGCATATGTCACACCCCCGGCCGAGGCGGCGGAACACGTTGGGCTGTGTGACTAAGTTCATGGATCACAGATAAATTGAATATACAGCACAAGTACAACGATAAACAAAACAACATTTGTATTATAAATTTATGTTTTCATACAAGGTTCTTACAGATAATAATAATACGGACATGAGTTTTCCTTAACAGTTAGGCATAACAATACAAAAGTATAAAATTAAAATACTTGCAAACCATGTTTTCCAATGTCTGAGTGTGCCTGAAATTTCACTGGTTTCCTGAGAATACATGTAGTTTGAAAGTCAACACAAGTCACAGGTTTTCTGCTAGGCGCATTAATGATATTTTTAAAAGAGTTTCCAAAAAGTACTTTCTTTTATATGTAAACAATGTTTAAATAAGCCTTGAAAATCCAAACAATGTTTTGACATAAGAAATTTCATGTTTTAAACGATTTTCCAACGAAACAAGAGAAAGGGAGAGATATCCGAGTTAATGCTTATAGTGAGTCCTATAATCGAGCTATTGACGAAAAGTATCCCCTACAACACTTCATTGGACGTTGTGGTAACGATCGAAGACACATATCACCTGCTACGATTGATCAGTCGAAGGTTGTAGCTAGCAACCGCAGGTGGTGATGTCGACCCCATATAGATCGATACATATGTACCTCACTCTGAAGATTAACGATTATAGTAGTGTGGGTATGCTAAGTGGTTAGACTCGGCTAATGAATAATGTATCGTCTCACTAAAAGCAATTAACTAAAAGTTTGTGAATAACTCTCAGTCCTAACTTAAATTGTAGTTAAGTTGCTAGGCATAATGAATTTTGTATAGAAGTTAAGCATGTATAAAAGGCATACGTTATTTTAATAGTTGCATTTCTCAAATAACATAACCAAATTGAAGTTTAAGAATAATATTGTTTTACTCATATTATATAAGTATTTAATCAATACTTTTCAACTACTATGTACAGACAGGGGCAGACATGAAACACCGGATGACAGGACCATTTTGACATTTAAGCACTTCTAAAATCCAACAACCCAGGCGGCCCTTCAAACCAGATTTCTCGTACCGTGAGCAATTAAAAAGTATTATAATAACATTTTGCATAATTTATAGTACTTGGCACATGTATTCTCCCTCAAAATATAAAAATGTAAAAGATGAGCCGTAACACTCACCTTATCGAGTGGTTAACGAGTAATTCTGAAAGTCTAAGAAGTTTTGTCGAGAGGTTGTGATCTCCGGGATTAATCCGATTTCCTAGAAATTTCGATATATATTAATATTTGGACGGATTGTGGCATTTGTGGCTACTTGTTTCTAAGTATAATGACTATTAATTTTTTTCCAAAGTTTTTATTCCAAAATTTATTTAAATAACCAATTTAAATAAATTTTATTTTAAAAATTAAAATTTAATTTATTATTTTCCCAAAATACTTTAAATAAACCAAAATTTTTAATTAATAACTTCGAAAAGAATTTATTTATTCTAAATCTTATTTAATATATATATATATATATATATATATATATATATATATATATACTAGTAGTGTACCCGCGCGATGCGGCGGCGGAGAATAGTTTTTTCAGCCAGTTGTTTTGTTTCGGCGATTATGTTCCTTTCGAAGTGTTGTTTCGTATCATCGATTATGTTTTTTTTTCGGAATGTTGTTTTGTTTTGGAGATTACGTTCTTTTCGCCTATTATATTCATTCGGCGCGTTGTTTCTTTTCTCATTTCGGCAAATACGTTTCTTCAGCGAGTTGTTTCATCCATCTCTTTTCGTTATTTCTATTATTTTAATCCGAGTAAACAATGGTATGAGTTTCTTTTATGACAACAATTTGTGTCATTTTGGCAAACTATTTTGAGTTAAACTAAAAATATATTGTTCTATCAACTTATTACATATAACATTTAATCAAATATATTAAATATGACACATATATTTTGATATAGCTATTAGCATAAGAAATGCTACCACTGCCACATATTGTAAAAAATAACAATAGGTTAAAAACGACACATTTTTTTATATTTTGAAAACGATTTTGAAACTTAAATATCTAACTTTTGTGTGGTTTTGATTGGAATGGGTAGCTTTTTAATTCTCACTTTTAAAATATCGAAACATGTTAACGTTTTTAAGAAATCTCATTTTTTTCATTAAATATCATCTTTTTCTAACTTATGTATTATTTGCATTTTGCAGAAATCATCTAACATAGTGATTCTCAAACGGCTAGCTAACACAATAGTTATTCTCAAAATGACATTTATAAAAATCATTTTTTTATTAATAAGCTTGGATTATGAAAACAGTTTTACAAATGAGTCCAATTTAAATTACAATAATTAAATGATTTCGTTAGCCCAATCGGATTATTTAGTCCACCAAAAATAAACTCAAATTAGTTTGTTTAGCCCATGTTAAAATAAAATAATTCTTGTGTCCTACTTGTGTTTTCACTTTGGAAGCCAAAAAAACCACAAGCTAGAACGCGCCTCTTTTTCT